CTTCCCAATGATGTGGACAAAGAGTCCTTCAGTCAGGAAAACTGAGGGCAGGGACCCTGAGTGATGGAATTTTGTCCTAAGTGTGGTAGGAAGACATTCTATTTTCTATTTTCTCTCTCCATTTATCTGCAGAAGGGCACCTAGTTTGGTTCCATAGTTTAGCTATTGTGAATTGAGCTGCTATAAACATTGATGTGGCTGTGTCCCTGTGGTATGCTGATTTTTAAATCCTCTGGGTATATGCCAAGGAGTGGGATAGCTGGGTCAAATGGTGGTTCCATTCCAAGTTTACTGGGGAATCTCCATACTGCTTTCCAGAGTGGTTGTACCAATTTGCAATCCCACCAGCAACGTATGAGTGAACCTTTCCCCCCAACATCCTCACCGACATTTATTGTTACTTGTGTCCTTGATCATTGCCCTTCTTGATTGAAGCGAGATGAAATCTTAGGGTAGTTTTAGTTTGCATTTCTCAAGTTGCTAGAGATGTTGAACATTTTCTCATATATTTGTTGACCGTTCATATTTCTTCTTCCGTGAAGTGTCTGTTCAGTTCCTTTGCCCACACATTGATTGGGTTATTTGGATTTTTTTTGTGGTGGTAAGTTTCTTGAGTTCTTTTTATATCCTGGAGATTCATGCCTTATCTGAGATGCAGGTGGCAACGATTTTCTCCCATTCTGCAGGCTCTCTCTTCACACTCTTGATTGTTTCCTTTGCGGGGAAGAAGCTTTTTTAGTTTGATATCATCCCATTTATTGATTCTTGATTACATCGGAGGAAAGATAGCCTCTTCAACAGATGGTGCTGGGAGAACCAGAAATGCATATGTAGCAGAATGAAATTGAACACCCCCCCCCCGTTTCACCCTGCACAAAACTCAACTCGAAGTGGATCAAGGACCTAGGCATTAGATCAGAGACCCTGCGCCTACTAGAAGAAAATACTGTAAGCCCAAATCTCCATCATGTCAGCTTAGAAACAGACTTCCCCGACAAGACTCCTAAAGCTGCAAGAAGTAAAATCATCGGAGTCTTGAAAGCAGCATCCTTCTACTCTGTGTGCAGGGTAGAATGATCACGCAGGCTGGCTGCAGAGAAGCAATTAGAGGCAGTTGCAGGAAACCAGGCTGAGGATCCTTGTGGCTCTGATTAGCTGGGAGTTTGGGTTGGGCATATATATATATATATATTTCGAATATAGAGCTAGTAACACCTAATGCGTTAGCAGAGAAGTGTAAGAGAGGCAGTGAGAGTAACTCAGCAGGACCTGGGACTTTTTGATCGAGTGTCTGTGAATGTTGGGGTGATGTGGGGAGCAGAGCGTTTGCCCTTCACGGTCTCTGCCTGGTTACTCTAGTGAGCAAATAGGGACCCCCCCAGTTCCCTTAGGACAAAAGTCCTCGGCCAGTTGAAAACTGGACATTTGTGCTTTGTTCGAGGGTCCCCTCTTGCTCCTTCTCTGGAAAGATGATTCTGAGGTTAATCACTGTGGGTGGAGTAGAATTGTGTCCCCCCCCCACCTCCAAAAATAAGATGCATGTTCAAGTCCTGACCATTGATCTCTGTGAATGTGACCATCCTTGGACAAAAGGTGTTTGCAGATGTAATTAGGATGAGGTCATACTGGATCAGAGTGGGCCCTACTCCAATGGCTGGTGTCCTTACAAGAAGAGGGACATTTGGACACAGACACAGAGGGGAAATACCATGTGGAGACAGAGGCAGAAACTGAAGTGACGTATCTATTAGCCACCGGAAGCCAGGACCCATGGGACCCAGTCTCCCTCCACGTCTGCAGAAGGAACCAGCCAACACCTGGATTTGGGGCCTGATCTTGGGAACCCTGAGTGGGTGAAGCCACCCGGGTTCTTCTTCCTTGTCAGGACCACTCTAGGACACGAGTCCGACCCCCCGTGTGAGGGGTCCATCCTGCCAGGCTGAGCGCAGGGCCGTGGTCTGCACACGTGATCCCCCAGAGCTCCCTGGGCACCACCCAGAGCCACGTCTGGTTGCCATCCCCCATTTTTACAGATGAGGAAACGGAGGCTCACAAGAATTAAGGGGACCGCCCCGGGTTCAACCGCTGAGGCTGTGGGAGAACTGGGGACCCACCTCGAACACCCACCCGAGTCCATGCCCTAACCACTGGAGGACACTCCCCCCTCCGACCACAGTCAGGGACAAAGGATTCCAGGCACGCCCTTCGCCACGGTGGGGGGATTCGCTGGCCAAGTTCATCACCACCAACGTCTTTCCAGCCAGGACTCCCTGGGCTACCTTTCCTCTGTTTTATCTGCCGTCGCTCGGGTTCTGGTATTTATCACGTCTCTCTCTTGGGGAACAGATGTGGCTGGGAATTTGATAAGAACATCGGCTTCAACACATCCTCCCAGTCTGTTTGGAATCCTGGCCCTGGAGATGGCAGGACAGCTGAGCAGCCAGCCCACGCCCTCTGTGTTGGTGTTCCAGTTTCTGGGAGCTCTCGAAAGACCGTGCGAGACGATTAATAAAAGACGATTTCCACTCAGAGGAACATGTGAAGATGTGGTCTTCGGCATTGTTCCTCTCCTGTGTCAACTGAATGAAGTGTCCAGCATGGGCCACGCATGCAGTCTGATTTCTTTTTTTTAATGCTAAGCAATAGTTTAGGGGGTGGAGAAAATGTTTAAAAAAAAAAAAAAAAGCTCAGGAATGATTGATGCTGGGAAAAAGTCTGTGCTAAAACCAGCCACACAGACAGGAAGCCATCCCGAGGCCTGGGGTGGGAGTGGCTGATTGGGTCTCTGCGGATCATCAAGGTTATGGAAGGAGGAAACGTCGGAGCTGAATCTCGGATTTTCTGCTCAGAGGAAGAGCATAGAGGAGGTGTGGCAGGCCGTGGGAAATGAATGTCCAAAGAAAAGCCAAGAACAAGCCGTGGTCCAGGCGTGGTTTGGCCTCGGGGGCCCGGAGGACGCCGAGCACGGCCCAGTCTGGGTTCTGATGTTGGCTGAAGTGGCTTAAATCTCCCGGAGACCCCGTCTGTTTGCCTGCAGAATGGGCATGATGAAACACAAGTAGGAAGTCTCCCCTGGTCCCCGGGGGCAGGGGGACATTCTCAGCCGTTCTGTCCCATCTCCCTTCCATGCAGAAGGTGACGATGGTCTGTCGTGACTGCACAGTCCCCAGGACCCCTGTCCTCTGAGCCTGGTGGAGGAGCAGGGGGTTCAGGGTGGTGGTGGGTCCCGGGGGATATCTGCACTGAGTCGGCTCAGCACCGAGCCCCAAGCCCCCGACCAGGGTCCTCCAGGGTCCCCCTCAACAGAAGGCTCTTCACCCCCCATCTCCAGTGTCTGTCCCTGGGCTCATTCGCATTCTGGCCACGTCACCCCCTGCCTCGTCCCTGCCCATGGGACAGCCCCCATCTTCTTTGCTATCAGGCAGCAGAAAATCCTCCATCTGCATCGGATTCTTTACATCTCGGGTCGGTGGCTTCTTCCTGTTGTTCCTGCTTTGGTGACAACAGCCCTTGGGTACCAGGGAGAGAAGGGAGGAGCCGGGAATCACAATCCGACACTGTGACTCCCTGCCTGGTCCCCGGAGCCCCTGGTCTGTCCTGAGGATGGAATGGAGGCCCGGCAGCTGACGCCCATCAGCCGGGCAGAGTTTACATTTTCTCGTGCTGCTGGGGAGACAGAGGCTGAGACGGAGGCTGAGACCGAGGCTGAGACAGAGGCTGAGACCGAGGCTGAGACCGAGGCTGAGACAGAGGCTGAGACAGAGGCTGAGACAGAGGCTGAGACAGAGGCTCTGGGCACACGAGCTCTGACTTCACCTTCAGGACGGCCGCGGAGCGCGGTGGCCAGGCTGGGCAGAGCGGCTGCCCTCTCCTCTCGTCTCCTTCTGCGAGTCTCTGTCTCTCTGGCCCCAGGGCCCTGTCGCCTCCTGGGGTCCTCCAGCTCAGGCATGAGCACTGTCTTTCCTTAACCTCCTGAGCTCCCGGAGGGCTCTTTTTGCAACTCAGGAAACACAGTCAGACAGTCCTGGGTTCAGATCCTGGCCCTGTGCCTCTCTGAATCGTGGTGCGGCAGGTGACCTGCTCGACGATGCCTCAGAGTCTGTAAAATGAGACTCATTCCTAACGGCTCCGACTTCCTAGAGCCTTGGGCAGAGCAGATGATACGTGACAAATGAAACCCAGTCGTCGTCTCGGGTATTGATAAAGCCCAAAGACGCGGCGGGGATTAATATCGCGTACTACATATCTGACGCGGGGCATGTTGGAAGTACTTCGATTGGATTGTTCCTTCCTCCAGGAAGCCTTCCCAGAAGCTCCCAGACCAGATTAGTCCTCTCCGAAACAGGGTCCTGCCCTGAGCTTCCAAAGTAGCCTCTCGAGAATACCACCCGGTGCTCATTGTCCCCGTGGGCATGGACACAGCCAATGAAAACAAAATCGTGTCTATGAGCCACAGCCCTCATGGTGACCACGGTGCGTAGCAGGCAGCCCCCAGACAAGAGGAAAGGCTGGGAAATATCACCTTGATCATCCCTGTGATTCATGGTTCAAAGTGTTCCTTTCTATCTGGAGCTCAGGATCAGGGAACATGGCAGCTTGTTTCTTGCTACCTCCCCATTGCTTAGCAGGCTCTTAAAGAACGTGGTGCCGTTGGATAAATAAGGGGACCCGTGTCCCGAGTTCAGTTTTATCAGGCATCCACTCGTTCTCTCATTCAGTAAGTATTTATTGAGCAGCTACCATGTGCCAGGTACCGTTGTGGGCTCTTGGGCTCTTCCTCTGTTCATGTTGGCTGGTCACTGATGCAGATCCCGTGGCTCCTGGAACCATCCTTGTGGGTTTGGTCCAGCCATCGAGGTGGGTGGGAAGGGTCACCCACCGTCCCTCGCCCACAGAGGGCCCCCGGGGAAAGCTGGGAGAGGATGTGGATGGACGCCAGCCACCCCCAGGTGTCGCGGGGTCCCCTCCTCACCGCCCTGATGTGCTGGCTCTCCCCGCAGGTCATGCTGTCGGAGCGGAAGGGCACAGACGAGCTGTACGCCGTGAAGATCCTCAAGAAGGACGTGGTGATCCAAGACGACGACGTGGAGTGCACCATGGTGGAGAAGCGGGTGCTGGCCCTGCCCGGGAAGCCGCCCTTCCTGACCCAGCTCCACTCCTGCTTCCAGACCATGGTAACGTGTCCTGGGGCCCCGTCCAGGCCAGATGAAGGCACGCGGGCAACTGGTTTCATGACCGACAGAGCAGGGCCTTTTCCTAACAGCACGGGGTGACTCGAGGACCGGGGACAAGGCCCACACACACCTCTAGATGCTGCCTTGGGCCCTCCAGACCCTTTGGATGCATGCACGAGAGCATCTCAGAGGGTTGCCTGGGACCTTTGCATGGTGGGGGGGCTTGCCTGAGACCACAAAGCACAGGGGACAATGGAGGGACTGGACACAGTGTCCCAGGCACAGGCCATGAGATCACAGCCGTGGCTGCCGAGTCACGGAGACACCCCCACAGCCCCCGCCAGGCCCTGCCATTCCAACCCCACCCCGGATCCTCACCCGGTCTCGCTTCCCATCCGACTGTGGTCTCGCAGCCAAGCAAGAAGCGCCCAGAGCCCCGGTGCGAGGAAATGGGAAGTTCATCCTTACAGCCACGGCTGCTCAAGGCCAGTGGCCTGTGACCCCGAGATGCTCTAAGGGATCCTTCGAGATGAATTCCGACTCTCTCCTGTTCTCCACCTCGGCTGACTTCAGAGCCCTCGCGCCCTGCGAGGCGGGATGCTTTTGCATCGTGCCTCTAATCTAAATCTCTCACCTAGTGATTCCCCCCAGTCCCTTCTGTTCTTTGATCTGCAGAAGGTCCTGCTGGTTCGAGGTAGCATTTCACCCTCTGGGTTTTGGTCTTGAAACACCTTTGCGTGCTTGGTCGGTGCTTTGAGTTTCCTGCAGAGAGGCAGCTGGGGCTGGTGACTCGGCCGGCCAGCCGCTGGCCCTCAGTACCCAGGTCCACTCATTCATCAGGTCTGCGAGGTGGCGATCCCCTGATTCTACCCTTTCTTTTATTGACTAATTGGGATGCTTTTTATAAAGAGAGGCTCCCCCTCGCTGCTGATTCCCGGGAGGCCCTGTTCACACAGGAAGGGCCCCTGCTTCACCCTTTCCCTTGGTTGAACAGTTTTCAAGATAAGGAGCTGGTTCACTATTGTGCTCCAAGGGGGAACGAAAGTCTGCTTCTAAAATAAATTTTTTGAGTAAAAGAGGTGGGGGGGAGTCCCTGTAAGCAAAAACCTTCAGTGAATGTCTTGTCAAATACCAAGGGAGAAAGGTCCCCTGGCTCTAGTCCTCATCCCCAGCTTTCCCTTGGAGAAAGAAGGCCTGCAGATGTTCAGGTGGTAATCAGCAGGACTAGAGCCCCTGGGATGGAGACCTCGGGACTCTCTCCCTGCTCCGTCTCTTTTCCGTGGGTGGTCCCCAAATTGACTTGGACATCACTCAGCAGATGACGGACAGTCCCGACCTGGTAAATGGGGTAAGAAGGAGACCTTCTCAGAGGAGAGGCCAAGAGAACTTGGAGATGCGGCTTTCGACTTCCCTTGGCTGGGCGGAGAGGGGAAGGAATCAGTCGTTTGTGACTAATGTCCACTCGAACACAGCCTCTTCCTTTGTAACTGACTGTCTGGAAAACGGTCACAGAGAGTGTCCCGAAGGTCTTTCTTGGAGCCTGCTGCTGCTTTTTGGCGTTGACGGGGTAGGCCTGGGTTTTCATGGGAATTGTGTGGGGCCGGACTCCTTCGCAAGGAATGTCACCAATGGCCAGTAGCAAGTAGCCCCAGAAGCTGAGGGAGCCTGGCTGAGGGAAGGACGGGTACCCTCTCCATGTCCACCTCACCTGAATTCTGCACATATGCTCACCGAGCGAAATACCCCAAATTAAATTATTTTTTCTCACTTTTTTTTTTTAGCTGAGCACATGTATTTTAATTTTGCATACATTACTTTCATTTTCAAGGACTTATCATAGTGCCTACTCTATATGTGAGGCATAGGGCTGAGCCACTCGTCAGCTCTCAGATGGATTCTGTTATCATCTGCATTTCGTAGAACAAGGTCCTGAGGTCACTCAGGTAGTAAGTAGTTCATGGGGGGGGGCGAGATTTGAACCCAGGCAGTCTGGCCTTGCTCTAAACTGTCACACGATGAAGTCATGTAAGTGTAGGTCACCTGGCTCCTACTGTACCTGACACACCTGGGGTGGCTTCCCCAACAGATTGCTTGCCTCCGGGCCCCACCCTGAGCTCTAACCGAGACTTGCTTGCCTCTCACCTGCTCAGTGAAGTCGCACTGTGCCTCTGCACCTTGGTTTTTCCATCTCCGGAGTAGAACTGACTTTCCGTGTTGAGCATCTATCATGTGTAGGTCTTAAAAAAAAAAAAATGTTTCCTTCCAGCCACCCGGGAATCTTGAAGTAGAAGGGATTAACTAGGATCCAGTTTTGCATATAAAAGGCTCAGGGGTGCCCAGCCCTGGCTCACCAGCCCATTGTACTCAGCACCCACGCTTTGCTTCGGTGAGCATAGCAGGTTGCATCACCGCCAAGTGACAATGCTTAATAGTGACAATGCTACAAACTAGACCCAAAGCAGCAGCAAACAGCGATGTGAGCTCTCCAGTGTGTGTGGCACGCCATGCTGAACCTCTCTGTAGGATCACATTTCTCTCTCCCAGCGTCTCTCTTGGAGAGGTCCCCTTACTAACCCCGACTCACAGATAGGAATGCTGACAGTCAGAGAAATTAAGTCACTTAGGCACTGTCCAACAGTCGGTCAGCGGTGCAGCAAGACTCCAGGACCCAATCCGGAAGCCTCTGCTGCCCTTCCTGTGAGGTATCTGCCCTCTGCGGTCTCACAAAATCTTTCCTCTTTCATGATCACATCTGATCTTTGCAAGGACGTTCTGCATGACCGTCCACATTTCCGTCCAAAGGAAAACCAACCAAAGTGGCTCAGCTTTTAGTGTTGGGTAAGTGGGAGCCCAGAACTTGAGCCAGCTTCCTAATGGCCCTTAGGAAGCTGTCGCTCCCTGATCCCACATCCTACTGGGAAATTGCAAGAATCAGGTGAGAGTTTTCTCCCTGGGAGTGACTTTGAGCTCCGGGGGTGCTGCAGACACGTATGGCAAACCATTGTTCCTGTGGCTCCCAGGAAGCAGGAAGGCCCACGAACGTGGCCCCGTGGCCCACCTGCTGCAGAGCTGATGCTGATTGATCATTTCAATGCATGTTTATTTGTTGAACTAAATATGTCAGGCCCCAGCTGTATCACCATCAGGGGCACGACAGGGACAACAGCGATAAAGTCTCTGTTCCCTTGGAATTTACCTTCCAGTGGGGGAGACAGAGAAACCACCGCAGCAACAGGAAGTCAAGGGGACAGCGGTGGCTGGGCTGGGCCGGCCAGGTGCAGGTTTTGATAGGATCATCAAGGAAGGCCTCACTGTTAGAGATGGCATTTGAGCAGAGACCACAGCCAGGCACGGGGAGGCTCTCTGGGGCAGAACAGTCCCAGCAGCAGGAGGCGTGAGTGTGAAGGCCCGAGGCAGGAGCAGGCTCTGTGCGTTTGAAGAGCGTGAGCCAAGGCCGGTGTAGCCAGAGCGACTGTCGTTTTGTATTCTGTGACCCAGAATTCCTATATGAATCAGCTACCTCTAAGAGAATGACAAATCTAGTAGACATGCTGCAAGTTTGATATGTTTTTTTTTTTTTTTAATTTTCGCTGGAGACTTAGAAATCTGAAGATTAAAATAGATAAAAGAGAGACATCCAGCAATGCACGAAGCGGATTTTTTTTTTTGCCATTCTTAAAATGATATGAATTGAGTGATTTAAAAAGTTGCTTAGAAGAACAGTGTTACATCAGAAATGTCCTTATGTGGGACTGAGAAAGGTCTTGCCGAAACGGACATGGGAGAGTATTAATAGAAAAAATGGAGTCGATTGCACGGGATTTAATATATTATTCCAAATGTGTTCAGATTGAATATGCACATGGGAAAGAACCAGAAGGGAGCCTGTGTAAACCAAAATATTGATTTGATTTAGAGAGGGGTTTGTGGGTGATTGTTTTCTCTGTGAATTTAAATTATTTCAAAAGTTTCTATAATAAAGCACATTTTTTTTTCTTTTTCTTTTTTTTTTTGGTACTGGGGATTGAACCACTGAGCCCCATCCCCAGCCCTATTTTGTATTTTATTTAGAGACAGGGTCTCACTGAGTTACTTAGCACCTCACCATTGCTGAGGCTGGCTTTGAACTCGAGATCCTCCTGCCTCAGCCTCCCGAGCTGCTGAGATTACAGGTGTGTGCCACCGCACCTGACTCTATAATAAAGCACTTAAGAAATTTTTTTAATGTGCCAGAAGCTGGCAAAGTTAATACCTAAGTATGTGCAAGAGACTTCAGAAGGGAGTTGGATTTTTTAGAGAATTGTTGATTACCTGATTTTTAGCCAAATAGGCTTAGGCAAGTGGCCTTGGAAGCACACAGGGTAAATAAGTGCTCTTAGTTAGATGAAGCTGGTCCGTGATTACCGGCTGCAAGACCTTTAAAAAGCCACTAAACAGTTGCAAATATTGGTTTCATCATCTTTAAAGTGAGCATAATAAGTGAGGACTCAAAGACACCGTGGATAACATATAATAACCATTAAATGGAGGTTGCTTCCATTATTAGACTTGGGCTGGGGGCACTCTGCTGTACAGGCACAAAAAAAAAAAAATGTTGTTCCCTGCAATTTTTCTGCAGTTCCCCCCCCCCTCAGGGACAATGTCAACCAGGCACATTCATGCAATTTCCCAACTGCCAGTAGGCACAGGCAGTTAAGTTTCTTCAGCAAAACATCTATTTTAACTGTTTTCTTTTCAATTGAACATATGCACCTCTTTTTTTTTTTTAAATAGAATTAGATTTTATGAGTCATTGAAGGACAGAAGTTACTTCCTCCCCATATTTTGCTGCTGCCACGGGCCCAGCCATAACTCAGCTGCAAGGCATGCTGGGAGAAGCATCCACCCAGAATGCGGGAGAGGACAGGGAAAGGGAGGAGGAGGAGGTCCACGGGTAGAATGGGCCCCTGCTGGCGTGTCCCTTGAACCCCAAAAGCACCCCCCCACACACACCAAACTAG